TTTGAATTTGTGCATAACTAAAAAATGAATACAACGAAATTTTTTAGTTTATAATATTCGGATAATTTTTTATTGTTTATTTTAAACAATGAAAAAATCCCGATTCCAAAAAAGTTATTCTAAAAACAATAAGACAAAGAAATTGCATGCATTAATAATAATTATGTATTTTTGTAACGTAATAATAATTGTTTTATTCTCCTTTCGAACAATATTAAAAAATTTTGTGATACGTTGATTATTTAAAAAAAGCGCATTATTAAGGGAAATTTACAATAAAATTTGCCGCTATTTTGAATTAAAATATCCGAACATTATTTTTTTTTTTTCCCCTTAAAACGATTTATGCATTTTGTTTTACCATTCGGTTTGGAGAATCCTGAAGTTAAACTTGTTTACATTACATTGATTTTTTAGCTTTTAATTACGAGTTTTAATATTTTATAAAGTTTATTAAAATTAATTGTACATCACAAGCAAATATATTATTAATTTTATAATTTAATAAACTTAAAATCAAAACTATTTTCCGGATTTTCTATTTTTACAAAAAATTCTCCTAATGATAAATAATTTTTGACATACATGTTAAATTATTATTTTGAAAAACCTTAAAATTTTGACGTTTTTTTTGGGTGTTAAAATCTTTGAATTTAAGCCATAATTGGCACTCTGAGTCAAAGAAAATTAATAAATTCCCCAAATATTAGAAGCAAGTTTAGAAAAATGTACACGATGTTGATTGATATAAATACGATAATAAACAATTGAATCGGTCGCATAAACAAATGATTTAATATTAAAAAAGATCGTTGGGAATTTAATCGATTTTGAAATTTTGAAAAAAACTTTTTTTCCCCATGAAAACCTGAATTTTTAAAATACAAAAGATTTTATCACGATTTCATTACAATAGCGAAGAATCTTTTGATGTAGATTTTGGATCGTAATCTTTTTTTTTTTTTAATACTTGTGAAAAAAAGTTGACAATTATTGTTATCATCATCATTACTATTATTGAGCAAATTTGACCTTATTAAGAATCAAGATTATCACTTCTTTTTTTATTCGTTATTACTATTATTATCGTTAATTATTATTAAACATCTAATTGATGTACATTGCATTCCTCCTTAATCCAAGAAAATTTTTCTTTTTTAGCAAATCAATAGATTCAAAAAAGGAAACTTTATTTATAATTAAAACTTTAAATTTTTAATAGTTAAAGCTTTTTTGCATATCAAAAGATAGGCTGCATATTATATCAATAAAGCTTAATGTAGAAATTGACTATGAACTTAAATTTTTTAAAAATTTACTAGCATAAATACACACGCACGTTAAAAAAACATATAATCTTTAAGAAATTAAAAAATGAATATCTTTATGAATTTTATAAAAAGTCGAGCAAGCAAGGGAATCGACCAAGACTTGATGAAAACAGGTTTATATTGCAAATTCTTGATGGGTAAATTGCTTGGATGTTTCATTTCTTATTTCACGTTACACAACAAAAAAACTTTAGTTCGTTATAGAAAGAGTAGTTTCGTTAATTCGAGTATTGTTGTTATTTTATTTATTAGATAAATATAGATAAATTAAACGCAAATTTTCGTGTTGCACAGATGGTATATATATATAACGAAGTATTCGTAAGAATCATTATATCAAGTTATAGCTGTATTCCTATTTAAGTAATGGTTTGATTTCCTTACTACGTCATATTGTTCTGCATAAATCCACACAATCCAAATTTAGAAATTAATTAAAATTTAAAACTTTAACGTAAATTGTAACATTATCATTATTCATTCATTCATTCATTCATTCATTCTACTCAACTCATTTTGTTCAGCTGAAAAAAACATTAACACAAAAAAATGAAATATGAATAGTTATGCATTTAGTAATCTTTCTACAAAAGACCTATGTATTATATGGACGTTATAATTTTAGCAATTTGTATCACGTTTTTATAACAAAGTATAATAATAAGTCTTACATAGACAACCTACAAGGTATCGAAAGCGACTCTTGTTATGCTTCCGTAATAATCTTTGTCAATGGTGGATTTAAAATCTGTACGTCTAAGGGTTTTTGAGGGCTCGGATTTTGTTTGATGAGTACACAATATTCAATGTAGACCATCTGCCGCCTTTTACAAAGAATATTATGGAATAAACAACTTTTAAATTAGTGGTGTGATTGATTTTCTAAACCATCTTTTTTATCCATGTCATGTGTTTGAAATTCACAAGATTACGAATTTTCTTGTAGATCCGAAGCGTGCGTTGAAGCTTATAATACCTTTTACGCTTATTTTGCTTTGGCATAAATAGATTACCTTTTACTTTAGTTTCTAAGCATAAGTAATACTCGGCCATGAAAATTCTCACTCTGGATCAAGAGAAATGATGTTGATGCCTCTATTCAACTACGGGCCTTGGTTATTTCAAATGGCGTAAAATTCGCCAATATGGTTCAAGGTGAGATGACAGCCATATTTTATTTTCAATACCTTTGAGGAATGAATAATGACAACTTTCTCTTCCCAATCATGATGATCGACTGTCTAATACTATAAGAGGGATAAAAAACTCATTTGAGATAGGGGTTTTCAGTATTAACTACCGCCAAACATTTGTCATATGTCCAGCGAGCATTACCAATTCATTTAATATGGTTTGTTTTTCCTCCGAATTAGGTTAAAGTCTGATTTTAACGGCAGTAAATATATAGGGGAAAATTCATAGTTGCAGAACACTAGATTCAGTAAAAGGAAGGGCCATAAAAAAATTAGCAATTTTGTGATGATATCAAAATTTTTACTACCATTCACAAAAAGATTGTCAATTAAACTCTTTTATATATCATCTGGTAAAAGGGGAATAAGATTTAAATCATCAGGTTAGTTTAGTTAAATCAACTGTAACTGTAACCCATGGCCCAAGAGCTAATATTTTTAAAAAGCCATCCCTTGTCTTCATTTCTGAAGGCAAGTAAGCTTCAATGATTTACTGATGGTTTTTAAAGGTAACCAACGTCAGTTTGCTCTCACCCCAGAGTGACTTAAAAATTCTTACGTTTGAAGAAGAAGTTTGGTTGTGATAACGAGTCACAGACAACTAAAGAAGATTGAATCTAATTTTTAAAGATAAATTTAAATTTGTTGTCGAAAATCAAAAAAAAACTAACTCTCTTACAACTACAACTACATCCTCGTTATAATAAATAATAACTAATAATTAATTTTTTATTTGAAATGTTCTATTTTTTAATAATAAAAATTCCTTTACAAAAAAAATTTGAACACGCGAAGATGCCTAGGTTAGTCAATTAGTAGCCTTAATTATTACAAGTTATTTCTCTTTATTATTATGGTGTAAAATTCGTCGCATAGCTCGTGTAACTAGTGACGTGAGCATTTCCAGTATACAATTTAAAATTAAATACGAGCAAAAATATTCCCAAGAAAATATAACTTTGATAAATTAAAAAACAAGTCATATGTAACACGATACTTTTTTAAAACTTATCATTTTTGAAATATCTTTATCATTAAAATACTTTTAGCAAGTATTAAAAATTCTTAACGGAGTTATTAAAAAAAAAATTCCGCATCTTGCTCTCATTCAATCCCAAATAAGTAATTGTGTACCTCTCTCATTTTAGAATTCGTTACATAATTATGCATATTCTTTTCATTATTCTTTTTATGGTTTGGAATTAAATCATTAGTTGTACGAATCCATTGGTGGCTTGTTTTTAATTCTGAATTTATCGCCAGCCGTTATTTAAAGTTTATTCTACTTCCAAAATTTCAAACCTCGTGTAATTTTCTATATTTTTCTGAACAAACCTTACTTATTCAATGTTTTTTAAGAAAAATTAAAAAAAAAATTAATGTAAAACGAATTCGTCATTATGTGCAACAGTACATATATACCCAATTGTTGTACTAATTGTTTAGATCGGAAAATTCCGGTATGTTTTAATCAATAACCGTAAACATCCGAAAAACCTTATTATGTGACCTCTTGGCGCAGCAATATGTAACAAAATCAGTACTAGTACCCCACAAAATCGTATGATATTATTTTGATTGGTTCGGCTCTAAATAATCAGGTAACCTGAAGACGCCACTAAAATTGTCGATCTTTGAGGGCCCATGATAGGAATTTAAGATCGACTTATTTTTTAATTCCGACTTTTTTATTGGCTAATCATTCTGGTTTGCTTAAAATCAAGTGAAAATATTAGGATATTCATATAAAAAAATGCATTTTGATAGTAATAAAAAGATTTATATTAAATATAAAAAAATCTAAGAAAATTTATTGTTCAAGAAATAAAACTCCATATCCTATATGGGGCATACTGCAACAAAACCAGACAAAGTGAACATTGGTATTACCAAAAATTTCAGGGATCAAAATTTAGTAATATGATTATTAAAATTTTCCATTTGTTATCCTCTTAATATTAGGTGATATATAGAATTACCCCTATATAAAATAGTTAATATGAAACTCATCTACCATGGAACCTAAAAATTATAGCACCATTAGAAGTATTCTAAAAAAGGAACAAGGTGAAAAAATTGCACCATATATTTTTAAAATAAATGATACTCAGACACTAGAAACTTATCTAAGAAAAGAAAAGATTACTTATGAAATTTATCAAGAAGAAAGAAAAACAATAAACATTAGTAAAAGAAAGCAGAGTGGAGGTGCATTGTTACCTAACAAAAAGCAGAAATCCTTAGAAGGAAAATAACTACCATTTTCTTTGATAGTTGAAATGAATTTCAATTTATACAGAGAAAACTACTTTTTTATTTTCAATCAAGATCATCTTTTAGTCTCTTTGACTTCAATTTGTGCAGTTAGTTGACCATTCTGTTGATCTTTTAATTTCCTGTTTTCTTCTTCTAGATGATTAATTTTTTCTTCTAAACTCTTTATCTTATCCAATAACTCTTGTTTCTGTTTCTTGCTTCATTCTTCAGATTTTTCCTGAAGCTTGGCTACTTCTTCTCTTTCTATTTTCAACCCCTCCTTGGCAGTTTTCAATTCCTTTTCAAGTTCCTTTGTTTTCTTTGCTAAGCGAGCTTCAATAGTTTGAGAAGAAGATGATTGAATTGGTCTTTCTTTTTGAAGACTACAAAAGCAATATCCTCTGTTTCTTTTTAGTCTACCACATTCCTCACAATAAGGAAGTGTGCCATTTTCTAAATCTTTCTTACAATTATCACAGATAGAAGCAATATCAATGCATTTATCTTTCTTATCATAAGCCACTATCTCATAATTAGCAGGAGTGAAAGTAAGTTCTTGTCCAAAGGGAACATCCAACAAACAATAATTACAACTCCGTGTTTTATTTTCTGCTTCTAAAATTCTGTATTCCAATTTCATAATTACCTGTTATTTTGTAAAATGTAAGTGTTGAATTTTTCTCTTGCTTGCTCTTTTACTCTATTTGCTAATTGTTGTAATTTAATCTTTTTCTCTTTTGCTAGCCTTGTTGCTTTGAACTGTAATTTTTTAAGTTTGCTTGGTTTACACTTCTTTCTTAATTCTTGGTTCTCTATCATCAAATCAAATATAACATTATCTTTATCCATGCCTAGATTGAAAAGATTTCTATCATGATATTCTTTGGACTTGTCTAGTGCTTTCAAGTTCATTTCAACTTCTATGTCTACTCTTTCTTCTAAATTTTCTATTATGTTATCTTTTTCTTCTAACTCTGCCTTTGATTCTTCAATCTTCTTTTTTAAATCTGCAATCTCTTCTTTTAGTTGGTTCTCTAAAAATTGATAACCATCAAAGGAAATTTCTAAAGATTCATCTTTACTTCTCAATTCTTGGTCAAAATCTTTAATAACATTTTCCAAATTAAAATCTTTACTGAAAACAATACATTTTTTGGCTACTCTTTCATCTCCAAATACACTTAAATATCTATCTAAACTATCAAAGCTTCTGCTATTACTGCTTATTCAACCTTTTTCAGGTCAAGCGAATTTTTCTAATAAAAGTAATCCACTGCTTCCTGGATTTTTAGCAATTGTGTGAACAGTTTTAAAAATTCTGAATTTAAGATTTTCTTCAAACTGTTGGAGTTTTTCTTCTTTTTCTGCTAACTGTTTCTCTAAATATTTTTTTTCTGAGATTAATAATTCATTTTCCAATTGTTGTTCTTCTAAATTGTTTACCATGATTTTCTTTTTTTATTTATTTGCTCTTTTAATATATTAATATACTTATATCCTTTTTATGAGGGCATATTAAGTATATAAATTATTTTAGTACTTTTTTACTTTAAAACTAAC